AATAATAATAATAATAATAATAATTAGTCAGGCATAGTGGCACATGCCTGTAGTCCTAGCTGAGGCAAGAAGATTGCTTGAACCCAGGAGTTCAAGTCTGCAGTGAGCCAAGTTTGCCACTGCACTCCAGTCTGGATGACAGAGCAAGACCCTGTCTCTGAAAAATAAAAAAGAGATGTATTGAACTTATTCCTCCTGTCTAGCTGATAGTACGTATCCTTTGGTCAACATTTCCCCAATATCCCTAACCCCAGCCTCTTGTAATCACCATTTTATTTTGTTTCTACAAGTTGCAACTTCTTTAGATTCCATGTAAGTGAGATTATATGGCATGTGTTTTTCTGTGTCTGGCTTATTTCACTGAATACAGCAGTCCCCAATCTTTTTGGCACCAGGGATCAGTTTTGTGGAAGACAATTTTTCCACGGATGGGGCAGGCGGGGTGGTTTGGGAATGATTCAAGCACTTGACTTTTATTGTGCACTTTATTTCTATTATTACTATATCATCATATATAATGAAATAATTATACAACTCACCATAATGTAGAATCAGTGGGAGCCCTGAGCTTATTTTCGTGCAATTAGATGGTCCCATATGGGGGTGCTGGAATACAGTGAGAGATGATCAGGCACTGGATTCTCATAAAGAGTGCACAACTTAGATCCCTTGTGTGCGCAGTTCCCAATAGGGTTTGTGTTCCTATGAGAATCTAATGCTGCCGCTGATCTGACAGGAGGCGGAGCTCGGCCAGTAATGAGAGTGATGGGGAGTGGCTGTAAATACAGATGAAGCTTCACTCACTTGCCCACTGCTCACTTCGTGCTATGTGGCCCAATTCCTAACAGGTCACAGATCACTACTGATTCTTAGCTCAGGAATTAGGGATCTGACTTAACACAATGTCCTCCAGGTTCATCCATGTTGTCATAAATGACAGAATTTCCTTCTTTTTAAAGGCTGAATAGTATTCCCTTGTGTATATATACCACGTTTTATCAGTTATCTTTGGGGTGTGTGTGTGTGTTGTTGTTTTTTTGTTAGTTTTTTCTGTTTGTTTTTTTGAGAGAGAGGGTCTCACTCTGTTGCCCAGGCTGGAGTGCAGTGGCACTATTACAACTCATTGCAGCCTCAACCTCCTGGGCTTAAGAGGATCCTCCCACCTCAGCCTCCCAAGTGGCTGGGACTACAAATGTGCACCACCACACCTGGCTAAGTTTTGAATTTTTCTGTAGAGATGGGGTCTCACTACATTGCCCAGGCTGGCCTCAATCTTCTGGGCTCAAGCCATCCTCCTGCCTCAGCTTCCCAAGTGCTGGGATTGCAGGTGTGAGCCACTGCTCTAAGTCTCATTTATCTGTTGATGGATACTTAGTTTGATTCCATATCCCAACTACTGAGAATAGTGATGCAGTAAAGATGGGAATGCAAATATCTCTTTGACATACTGATTTCATGTCCCGCAGATATACCTGGAAGTGGGATTGCTGAATCTATGTTTATTTTCTTGAGGGGACCGCCACACTGTTTTCCATAATGGTTGTACTAACTTACATTCCCACGAACAAGGATTCCCTTTTCTCTACATTCTCACCCACACTTGTTATCTTTTATCTTTTTTATAATAACCATCCTAACAGGTTTGAGGTGATACCCTGTTGTGGTTTTAATTTTCATTTCCCTGATGATTAGTGATACTGAGCATTTTCTCATATACCATTTGGATATTTATATGTCTTATTTTCAGAAGTATCTATTTAGGTCCTTTGCCTACTTTTAAATTGGGTGATTTGTCTTCTTTCTATTTTTTTTTTTCTTTTTGAGACAAAGTCTCACTCTATTGCCCAGGCTAGAGTGCAGTGGCGCAGTCTTGGCTCACTGCAACCTCCGCCTCTTGGGTTCAAGCGATTCTCCTGCCTCCACCTCCCAAGTAGCTGGGATTACAGGCGCCCATCAACATGCCTGGCTATTTTTGTATTTTCAGTAGAGACAGGTTTTCACCATGTTGACCAGGCTGGTCTTGAACTCCAGACTTCAAGTGATCCACCTGCCTTGGCCTCCTAAAGTGCTGGGATTACAGGCGTGAGCCACTATGCCTGGTCTGTTTTCTTTCTATTGAGTTGTTTAATTCCTTATATATTTTAGATATATTGTTCTTATCAGATCTATGATTTGCAAACACTTTCTCCCATGCTGTAGGCTGCCTCAGTCTATTGATTGTGCCCTTTGCTGTGCAGAAGCTTTTTAGTTTGATCTAATCCCATTTGTCTATTTTTGCTTTTGTTGCCCGTGCCCTTGGAGTCATATCCAAAGAAATGCCCAGACCAGTATCACGTAGCTTTTCCCCTGCTTTTTCCTAGCAGTTTTGCAGTTTCAGGTCTCCGGTTTGTCTTTAGTCCAGTGGGGGTTGATTTTGGGTATGGTCTGTGCTATGCTCCTTTGGGCCCCAGGCGAGCCCCTCCAGATGCCCTTGTTATTTCACTGTTCATCAGCGTCCATCAGCCAAGCTGCCTTAACAGGCCATTTCCCCGAGGGCAGTTAGCCCTGTCTCTCAGAAGAGGCTCTGACGTCCAGCGCTCCCTGCTTTACTGATGCGTCATCTCTGCCTCCTACAACTCTGTTAACAGGCCTTTGAGCTTCACTGCCCCCTGGAAAGTGCCCAGAATCTCTCCCACATTTTCTTGAATGTGTACTTTGAGATTAGGAGCTGTCTCTACATAACAGAGCCTGACCCACAGTGCGGAAGCTTTCAATGACATGACCGGCCCACTGGGTTCCCAGAGAAGTAGAAATTGATTTTCATATTCCCCTCAAGTTGTCTTTTGTGTTCCCAGAGAGAGAGAGATACACAGATTCATTCCATTTTTTGCTGTAGAATGAGTCAGAGTATAAACCAATCATTTGAATACAACTGACCACATTTTCATGTATTAAGCTCAGAAGCCCTCAGTAGATTTAGTAAATGAATGGATTTCTCTGGCTTCTCATACTTGCCAAACGTGTGTTTCAATCGTCTTGGCTTCACAGATTTTACCGACTCAGCAATACAAGGTGGAAAGAGGTCTGGATACTGTTGTCTGTCTCCTGGAGGTGCCTTGACGCTAGATGACCCCGTGTGTAGATGTGGGCTGTGATTCGAGGAGTTAGCGCTGACAGTGCTGATGAGTGAAAATGTTTTGTAGTATTTTGCTTCTGGAAAAAAAATACATTTATGGTGTTATGAAAATCAGCCTGGGCCCGTGGGCATGTATTTTTGCTGAAAAGAAACAATTGAGAATCTCTGATCTAAAGAGCCCTGGATATCTTCAGGCTTAGCATGCAAACACCTTTGTCCTTTGTATTAATCTGAATTGCTTGTCACATTATCAGAACTACATTCCTTTTATGTGAAACATCCGAGTGACAGACGGCTCAAAGTCATCATAGAGACATTATAGTTCAACCTCCTCAAGTGACCGTCACAGATCTAATAATGCACAGAACTGGGAAGAAAATCAAAGGTTCTGAGGCAGAAATTTCAAGAAGCTTCCAAAGAAGGAGATGTCATTGCTCTGACATTCACAAATGTAGGCAAATTCAGGCCTCTGAGGAGTAAACTGATGCTAGAAGGAATATGATTACATGTAAAAGAACTCCATATGCTATAAAGTACTCTGTTAAATGAAGATTATCATTGCCTCTTTTATTATAAACATTTATTGAGCATCCGTAATATGCCAGGCTCTGTTCTTAGCCATTTAGATTCATCGGCAATCAATTCAAAGTCTGTGAAGCATGAGCTCCAGTTCAGGACACATAATTTAGAATTGATTTCCTTTTTTTTTTTTTTTCTCAAGCAAAGGAACTGAGTATAACTATATTAAAATTTTAGGATTTTCCTATAAAGTTTATTCAATCTTTTTTAATTAGTGATTTAAGATGGTCTAGGTGATGCTCTCCTATGAAGGATTCTGCTTGATTCAAAGCTTTTATTTTCACCAAAATAAGAATTATTTCTTCGACTTTATCCCTGAATTCACTTCTAGATAATTTATGTGCAGACTGCAATAAAAACTGAATGAAGTTTTCCAGCTGTGGAATAGATGTCCTCGTGGCAGAATTTTCAAACCATTTTTCTGGTAGACATGCTGCTACCTGGTTGCACTTTTTAACCACATCTGGCCCAGGTGTGGCATTGAGAAGAGCTATAATAAGGTAACGATTTAACAGCTTCCCTAGTCCTAGTTCTTGCAAGGTGTCATCTGTAAGGAGTCCATTCCAAAGAAGAATATTGTGGAAGAGCTTTAGGCCTGACCAGAACTGTCTTTCTTGGAACTTTGAATGAGGTGATGTTTTGTTTTCTACAGCACTCTTTGGATACAGAGGAATAAAAACGTCATCTTCTACTGCCTTCTTCATTCTTGAAAAAAAAATCTTGTCTACAATCATCAACAAAACAATTATTCCCCGACTTACAGACTTTGTAGAATTCCTTTGGGATCCTTTGTCAGCCTCACAGACAACAAATTTAATAACACATTGCAGAGTGATTCTTGAAGAACATTCCATTTGTGAAAATGAAGTTAGTAAAAGCAAACAGGATTTACTTAGAATTGATTTCTAATGTAAGATCAGGAGGTAACTGACGATACTTTGCTGTAGAATAAAGCAAGTCAGTGTGTAGACAGGGACAGGTGCTGCTATTTTACATGGTGTGGTCAGGGAAGGCCTCGCCAGGAAGGCAACACCGGAGTGGAGGCTTGAGTGGTGGGAAGCAGTGAGCCATGAGGAGATCCAAAGGGAGAGGGGAAAGAAGGGGAAAGACATGAATGTGATACGCTCAGCATACAGCTGTGGCTTCCAGCCATGGACTGGGACGAGGGTACCCAGAGAGAGAAGATTGAGAGGATCTGGACAGATAAGAGAGGAAGGGCACTCCCAGGGCACTCCATCACTCAGACAGTACAAAGAGGGGAAGAGCCATCAATGGAAGTGAACAAGTAGCAACAAGTCGGGGGGAGCAAAACCTGGAGTCAGATGGGAGACGTTCCTGAAGTCAAGTGAAGAAGCTGCCTCAGAAGGAGACGAGCAAGTGCTTGTCCATATAGCAACAAACGTTACCATTAGATCCTCACCTTCCCTGACACACAAAACAGGCCCCCCTTGGATGAAAAACCTAACTGTAAAGGGCAAAACAAAAAACAACTTTTTGAAGGAGATATAGAGGCAGATATTTTTGTGACCTCAACGAATGAAAGCATGTCTTTAAAAAGACATAAATAGCTCATGCCACAAAAGGGGAAAAGTAATACATTTTAAAATTCGACACATCCAGAATCACCATGGCCCATGTGTGGTGGTGTGTGCCTATTCGGGAGGTTGGGGGGGCAAGATTACTTGGTCCCAGGAGTTCTGAGCTGTAGTGTGCTGTGCTGATCGAGTGTGCACACCATGTTCAGCATTAATATGGTGACCTTTCAGGAGCAGGGGGCTACCAGGTTGCCGAAGGAGGGGTGTATTAGTCTGTTCTCACACTGCTAATAAAGACACCTGAGACTGGGTAATTTACAAAGGAGAGAGGTTTAATGGACTCACAGTTAGTTCCACATGGCTGGGGAGGCCTCACAATCATGATGGCAGGTGAATGTGGTGTAAAATCATGTTTTACATGGCGGCAGGCGACACAGCTTGTGCAGGAGAACTGCACTTTATAAAACCATCAGATCTGGTGAGATTTACTCACTATCATGAGAACAGCATGGGAAAAACCCATCCCCATGATTCAATTACCTCCCACTGGGTCCCTCCCACAACACGTGGGAATCATGGGAGCTACAATTCAAAATGAGATTTGGATGGGGACGCAGCCAAACTATGTCAAGGGGTGAATTGGCTCAGGTTAGAACCAGAGAAGGTCAAAACTCCCATTCTAGTTAGTAGTGGAATCACACCTGTGAATAGCCACTGCACTCCAGCCTGGGCAACATAGTGAGACCCTGTCTCTACAAAAAAAAATTTTTTTTTAATTAACCAAGCGTGGTGGCACACGCCTGCAGTCCTGCTACTCAGGAGGCTGAGGTGGGAGGATCAATTGAGCCTGGGAGGTTGAGGCTGCAGTAAGCTGCAAGTGAAGCTCTGTCTCAAAAAAAAAAAAAAAAGAAGAAGAAAAGAAAATATACTCAAAGACAAACAATGAGAAGTGCTACTAAAAACAACAGGTATAGGAAACAATAGAGACAGGATATTAAAGAGAGGAGTGCATTATACATACATGTATAGAAAAAACATTATCCTCCTAACAGCATTAAGGGTTTGAAATTAAATATTGGTAGCCTGATTCTTTCATTTTTAAAGTCTAATCCACTGTCCTTAAATCTAGTTTGGAAGTAAGAAGCTTCTTCTTTTACATTGAGAGCCTCTACTTTATACAAATCATTCTGCATTCTCTAAATCAGTTTTGAGGCACTAGAAATATTTTGCTGGTTCTATGGTATTTCAAAAGGATTTTCTTATTATCTTTCCCATACTTTGCTCTTTTATGTGTGTTGCTTCCAATTTCATCTGACTAGAATGTGTTCCAGTGTCCTAAAGTAAAACAAGGTCAGTCCACGTAAAGGTTTTGTTCTAACACTTTCTACTCTTGTTCTATTGGGGGAGGGGGAGTTGCAAATGTGGGAATCTGTGACCTGGTGAGTTTTTTTTTCGATCTTGTTTTTATGTCATAGGTCAGAAACTCTAGCATTTTTCTGCCTCTGAGCCAGCAAGAAGAAAGAAAAATGTAACATGAGTTTGGTGCCAACTGCCTCCAGTGATGGACAGGGCCGTTTCCTGACCCCAAAGTGTATCTGGTCATAGTCCTTCAAAGTGTCCTCTGCTTTGAAATAGAGAAGAGATAACCATGGACAGGTGTGAGGGTGGTGATGATGTTCGGCAGCAGTGCGGAGGGAGAAGCAGACAACGCGGACTGGCCACCCGCGCTGCAGCCTGCACCCGGCAGGGCCAAGGCCCTTCTGTGTGAATTCAGGTTAATTGCTGCTAAAATTATACTGGATTTTTTTTCACTCTTTATTAGTCATAAGAAAAAAATCTAGGAAATTCTGTAATTAACTGCTCAGTGGAAGAAATACAATTAAGAAGGCTTTAACTTTTGTCCTAAGCCAACACTGTGAAAGTGAATTCTCTTGCCTTGCAGACTCAGGCCTGCCCCATTTTGGAGCTGATGTTTATGAAGGCATGAGTGCATCTGTGTATCTTTCCTCACTTCCCACACCATCACTACCAGTTCAGGCAAAAACTTGTTGTGAGGCCGGACATGGTGGCTCACACCTATAATCCCAGCAGCTTATGAGGCTTAGGTGAGAGGATCACTTGAGGCCAAGAGTTCAAGACCAGCCTGGGCAACATAGCAAGACCCTGTATCTACAAAAAAAATTTAAAAATGAGCCAGGTGTTGTGGCTACTTTGGGAGGCTGAGGTGGGAGGAGTTTGAGGCTGCAGTGAACTATGATTGCACCACTACACTCCAGCCCGGGTGACAGAGTGAGACCCCATCTCAAAAACATTTTTTAATTAAAAAAAAAAAAGGGCCATTAAAGGCCTGGCATCTCCTATGTGGAGTACAGACCTTATTATGGCTGAATTGTATCCCCTCAAAATTCATATGTTGTCAGGCACGGTGGCTCATGCCTGTAATCTCAACACTTTGGGAGGCCGAGGCGGGAGGATCACTTGAGCTCAGAAGTGAGAGAATAGCCTGGGCAGCATGACCCCATCTCTACAAAAAAGCTTTGTAAATTAGCCAGGCATGGTGGCATATGTCTGTGGTCCCAGCTACTTGGGAGGCCGAGGTGGGAGGATTGCTTGACTCGAGAAGTTGGAGGCTGCAGTGAGCCAAGATCATGCCATTGCACTCCAGCCTGGGTGACACAGTGAGACCCTGTCTCAAAAAAACAAACAAAAAAAATCATATGTTGATGCTCTAACTCTCAGTACTTCAGAATGTGACTGTTTTTGGAGACAGGGTCATTAAAGAGATAATTAAGGTTAAATGAGGACATTGGGGTGGGCTATGATCCAATCTGACTGGTGTCCTAATAAGAAAAGATTTTGACACAGACACACACACACACAGACAAAGCTTGTGAAGACACAGGGAGAAGACAGCCTTGGTCAGGCAAGGAGAAAGGCCTCGGAAGAAAACCAGCCCTGCCGGTACCTGATCTCTGACTTTGGCCTCCAGAACTGTGAGGAAACAAATTTCTGTTGTTGAAACCAGTCAGTCTGTGGTCCTTTGTTATGGCAGCCCTAACAAACCAATATAGGTCCCAAACATTTGGTCCCACCAAGTAACAGCTTCTCCTCTATCCTCTCCATTCACCAGCCCATGAATGGGCTTCTGTTTGGAGCTGTCCTGAACCCATCCCTTAATGAACAGCGAATAAACGTTTTCTGTAGACAGTAAATATTTTAGACTCTGAATGCCAAGAGGCAAGAGAAGAATGTTCTGTCAGCATTTCTGTGAGCATTGAGAAAGGTTACCTGCGTATTCTTGTGCTCCCATGTTCATTACAGCACTATCTACAATAGCCAGAGGTGCAAACACTCTAAGTGTCCATCAACAGATGAATGAGAAGAGCAAAAAGTGCTAGAGGCATACTATGGAATAGTATTCAGCCTTAAAAAGGAAGGAAATTCTGCCAGGCACAGTGGCTCACACCTGTAATCCCAGCATTTTGGGAAGCTGAGGTGGACGGATCACCTGATGTTGGGAGTTTGAGACCAGCCTGACCAATAGAGTGAAACCCCGTCTCTACTAAAAATACAAAAATGAGCTGGGTTGTGGTGGTGCACACCTGTAATCCCAGCTACTCAGGAAGCAGAGGTGGGAGAGTCATTTGAACCTGGGAGGCAGAGTTTGTAGTGAGCCCACATTGCAGCACGACACTCCAGCCTGGGTGACAGAGCGAGAGTGAGAGCGAGACCCTGTCTCAAAAAAAAGTAAGGAAATTCTAGGCCGGGCGCGGTGGCTCAAGCCTGTAACCCCAGCACTTTGGGAGGCCGAGACGGGCGAATCATGAGGTCAGGAGATCGAGACCATCCTGGCTAACACGGTGAAACCCCGTCTCTACTAAAAAATACAAAAAACTAGCCGGGCGAAGTGGCGGGCGCCTGTAGTCCCAGCTACTCCGGAGGCTGAGGCAGGAGAATGGCATGAACCCGGGAGGCGGAGCTTGCAGTGAGCCGAGATCTGGCCACTGCACTCCAGCCTGGGCGACAGAGCAAGACTCCGTCTCAAAAAAAAAAAAAAAAAATGTAAGGAAATTCTAGCACAGGCCACCACATGGAAGTACCTTGAAAACATTAAGCAAAATGTTTGACTAAGAAAAGTGAAAAAAGCCAGATACAAAAGAACAAATACTGGGTAATTCCACTTATATGAGGTTCCTAGAATACGCAAATTGTAGAGACAGGAAGAACAGTGGTCAGCAAGGGCCAGGTAGGGAAGGATTGATTGTTTAATGGACACAGAGCCTCAGTTTGGGATGATGAAAAAGTTCTGGGAATAGTGATGATGGCTGCACAACATTATGAATGTACTTAATGCCACTAAACTATACACTTTGAAATGGTCAAAATGGTAAATTTTGTTATGTATCGTTTACCACAATAAAAAAATGATATTTGGAAGAATGTATCCATTAAAAAATGTAACCATGGGAGGCCAAGGCGGGCAGATCACTTAAGATTAGGTGTGCAAGACCAGCCTGGCCATCATGGTGAAACCTCATCTCTACTGAAAATACAAACATCAGCCAGGTGTGGTGGCATGTACTTAGAGTCCCAGCTACTCGGGAGGCTGAGGCAGCAGAATCGCTTGAACCCAGGAGGCAGCGGTTGCAGTGAGCTGAGATCACGCCACTGCACTCCAGCCTGAATGACATTGGCCTATGAACTTCAGTTTGTCACCCCCTGCCGTAAATAGGGACTTAATTTCCCCTTAGCAAAGAGCGAGAGAGCTTCCTCAAAACAGAACACATGTAACTGCAGCACCGTCATCGAGTGTTGTAACCACTGTAACTCTTGTCTGGAAGGGCCTCTCACTTTGCCGCTTCTAGCTTGCATGCTTTGGGTATTAAATCAAGCCTGAATTTCTCAGCTTCTCCAGACCTTCTTGGTTGTTCACTTCTGGGGATAACCCTGCACCTGGGGGGTTGCCCAACACCAGGCCTTCTGGGTCCGTTTTGTCTCTTTCCCCATCAGCTTGCAAGGGTGAGGTCTCTGTATGCACTGGGGCCTAATCCATGGAGGCTATGCATGGAGATGGCTGAAGGCTTTGCTGGGGGAATGACTTATTCAAGTCATTAAATGTAACATTTAAGTTACAAACAAGTTAAAGGATATGATTTTGGTTTGATTGCAACAGAAAAACCACTTAATACCTGAAATAAGGAAACCAAGCTGAATGTATTGTTTCTCATAGGAAAGGAGAGCTATGCTGGTTACACTCCATCTCTCTGAGCAGAGTATTAACTTATATAGGGTGTTGGAGGGTGTGGAGCTCAGGGGTTGGAGGCCTTCCAGAGGCATGAGTTGGGTGGCAGCCTCCCTGGAAGTGTGGTTGCTGCCCGAGCTATTGTTGATTGTTTGGCTCCCACGGATGCGTTTAAGTGAGCCAGTCGCTGATTGGCTGACCTTCAGAAGATGATTGGTTAGCTTGTGGAAGGTCACTAAGTCCTCACGGATGGATTGAACGGGTGGGAAACTGGTTCTGGTGACCGCTTGTTACCACGGCTAGGGAATAATCCATTTTTAAAATTAATACTTTAAGTTCTAGGGTACACGTGCACAACATGCAGGTTCGATACATAGATATACATGTGCCATGTTGGTTTGCTGCACCCATCAACTCGTCATTTACATTAGGTATTTCTCCTAATGCTATCCCTCCCCTTGCCCCCCACTCTCCAACAGGCCCTTGTGTGTGATGTTCCCCGCCCTGTGTCCCAGTGATCTCATTGTTCAATTCCCACCTATGAGTGAGAACATGCGGTGTTTGGTTTTCTGTCCTTGTGATAGTTTGCTGAGAGTGATGGTTTCCAGCTTCATCCATGTCCCTGCAAAGGACATGAACCCATCCTTTTTTATGGCTGCATAGTATTCCATGGTGTATATGTACCACATTTTCTTTCTTTCTCCTTCTTTCTTTCCCTCCTTCCTTCCTTCTTTCCTTCCTTCCTTCCTTCCTTCCTTCCTTCCTTCCTTCCTTCCTTCCTTCCTTCCTTCCTCTCTCTCTCTCTCTCTCTCTCTCTCTTTCTCTCTCTCTCGATAGAGTCTCACTCTATCGCCCAGGCTGGAGTGCAGTGGTGCGATCTTGGCTCACTGCAAACTCCGCCTCCTGGGTTCACGCCATTCTCCTGCCTCAGCCTCCTGAGTAGCTGGGACTACAGGTGCCTGCTACTGCGCCCGGCTAATTTTTTTGTTTGTATTTTTAGTAGAGATGGGGTTTCACAGTGTTAGCCAGGATGGTCTCAATCTTCTGACCTCGTGATCTGCCCACCTCGGCCTCCCAAAGTGCTGGGATTACAGGCATGAGTCACCGCGCCCGGCCTACGTTTTCTTAATCCAGTCTATCATTGATGGACATTTGGGGTGGTTCCAAGTCTTTGCTACTGTGAATAGTACCACAATAAGCATATGTGTACATGTGTCTTTATAGCAGTATGATTTATAATCCTTTGGGTATATACCCAGTAATGGGATTGCTGGGTCAAATGGTATTTTTAGTCTTAGATCCTTGATGAATTGCCACACTGTCTTCCACAATGGTTGAACTAATTTACACTCCCACCAACAGTGTAAAAGCGTTCCTATTTCTCCACATCCTCTCCAGCATCTGTTGTTTCCTGACTTTTTAATTATTGCCATTCTAACTGGTATGAGACGGTATCTCATTGTGGTTTTGATTTGCATTTATCTGATGACCAGTGATGATGAGCATTTTTTCATGTGTCCATTGGCTGCATAGATGTCTTCTTTTGAAAGGTGTCTGTTGATATTCTTTGCCCACTTTTTGATGGGGTTGTTTGTTTTTTTCTTGTAAATTTGTTTGAGTTCTTTGTAGATTCTGGATATTAGCCCTTGGTCAGAAAGATGGGTAGATTGCAAAAATTTTCTCCCATTCTGTAGGTTGCCTGTTCACTCTGATGGTAGTTTCTTTTGCTGTGCAGAAGTTCTTTAGTTTAATTAGATCGCATTTGTCTATTTTGGCTTTTGTTGCCATTGCTGTTGGTGTTTTAGTCATGAAGTCCTTGCCCATGCCTGTGTTCTGAATGGTATTGCCTGGGTTTTCTTCTAGGGTTTTTATGGTTTTATGTTTAACATTTAAGTCTTTAATCCAGCTTGAATTAATTTTTGTATAAGTGTAAGGAAGGGATCCAGTTTCAGCTTTCTACGTATGGCTAGCCAGTTTTCCCAGCACCATTTATTAAATAGCGAATCCTTTCCCCATTTCTTGTTTTTGTCAGGTTTGTCAAAGAGCAGATGGTTGTAGATGTGTGGTGTTATTTCTGTGGCCTCTGCTCTGTTCCATTGGTCTATCTCTCTGTTTTGGTACCAGTACCATGCTGTTTTGGTTACTGTAGCCTTGTAGTGTAATTTGAAATCAGGTAGTGTGATGCCTCCAGCTTTGTTCTTTTTGCTTAGGATTGTCTTGGCAATGTGGGCTCTTTTTTGATTCCATATGAACTTTGAAGTATTTTTTTTTTCAATTCTGTGAAGAAAGTCGTTGGTAGCTTGATGGAAATGGCATTGAATCTACAAATTACCTTGGGCAGTATGGCCATTTTCATGATATTGATTGTTCCTATCCATGAGCATGGAATGTTCTTCCATTTGTTTGTGTCCTCTTTTATTTCGTCAAGCAGTGGTTTGTAGTTCTCCTTGAAGAGGTCCTTCACATCCCTTGTAAGTTGGATTCCTAGGTATTTATTCTCTTTGCAGCAATTGTGAATGGGAGTTCACTCATGATTTGGCTCTGTTATTGCTATATAGGAATACTTGTGATTTTTGTACAGTGATTTTGTATCCTGAGACTTTGCTGAAGTTGCCTATCAGCTTAAGGAGATTTTGGGCTGAGACGATGGGGTTTTCTAAATATACAATCATGTCATCTGAAGACAACCCAACGACATAATCTGTCATATTCACCCAAGTTGAAACTGAAAGGAAAGAAAATGCTAAGGCAGCCATAGAGAAAGGTCACGGTTACCCACAAAGAAGCGCCATCAGACTAACAGTGGAGTCTCTTGGCAGAAACGCCACAACCAGAATAGCAGTGGAGCAGATATTCGCAACCATGTCTAAAGCGAAAAGAATTTTCATCAGAATGTTCATGGTCTAGCCAAACTAAGATCCATGAAATAAAGGCGAGAAAAAGAATCCTTTACCAGACAGCAATGCCTGAGAGATTGTTGTCACCCACCAGCGGCCTGGCTACAAGGCAGCCTCCTGAAGGAGAGCGACTAAAGATGGCAAGAAACAACTGGTACCATCCTGCACAAA